CGGACGAAGGTCCGGGGTTGGATTGCTCCGTGGGCAAGTCTGGCCGGATCTGGGCCCAGGATGGCAGGGTCTGGGGCTCGGGAGCGAGCTCGCCGCTGCCGTGCCCTCCGTTCCTCGTTTGGCGAGCTGTCGGGGATCATCCGCGCAGGGATGAAGCGCGCAGGGCTGCTCGGTGCCTCGGTCACGGGTGTGTTTCCGGCCGTGCCTCCGAGCAGCTGCGCTCGGCTGCGGGTGGGTCTCTGTTCGGGGGGCCCGAGGGCAGGAGTCGCTCCATCGGTTTGATCTCGTCTCCCGCTCCTCTCGCCGACCCCCCCCCTGCGTGGTCAGCTCTGATCATCTAGCTTCGGGGTGTGCGGCGGCTGGGGCGAGGTTGGGCGTCGGCAGCTGATATGCAGGCGGTGCTCGATGCTCTCTGCGGTGGCGGGGGCCCTCTCTGGCAGCGGGCCTCAGGCCCAGTGGGCTCGCCCTGGCTACTCTCCGCAGGCTTGGATAGGAGGCTCGCGATTGGAATGTTTTGGGATCTTATGCAGGGCTCCTCCTGAACGTCTCGGAGTACGGGGCTATGACGCTCCTGATGGTTGTGGGCGCCGGCATTGAGAATTCTCTCCTACGTGATCTGACTCTCGACGATGAGGCCTGCCGTGAGCTCCTTTTTCCCCGTCTTCGCCCCCTCCGGGAGGTGTGCCAAAATCTCCGCGCTTCTGGCGCGGCTCTCGAAGCCCCCCTGTTGTCTGCTTTCGCTTCGTGGGGCATGGCCGGCCAGGCTCACATTTCTCTGGAGAGGCAGTCTGCGAGCTCTGAATTTATTAGGGGGCCACACGTGAACCCTACCCCTACCCCCCCACGATTTCTGAGGGGGAGGGTGGGGTTCACTTCGCTCCTGAGAAATCGTGGGGGGTAGGGGTAGGGTTCACGTGTGGCCCCCCCCCCCCCTATATATGATGCGTGGCCACCCGCGGGGGGCGAAGCCGCGCGGGTGCTGTTCTTGTCCCGCCGCGCAGGGGCTTCGGCAGTTGTTTGGATTTGAACGGTTGGTCCAGGCTGGGGCGTCGGCCTTTCCTTCCAAGTTGCGGGCAATACTCATATGAATTCTTTACGCTTCGCGTATCCCCACCAGCCCATCTCACAACAGCAACTCTGGCGAAGCATGCCGACAGTCGTGTTTTTCAGGCGTGTGTCCGCTTGCCCCCGCATATCTCCCCTGTTCCTCTTTCCTCCCGCCTCCTTGTACATCCTCCTTGTGGGGGGAGCGGGAGAAGGACGAGGCGGAGGAGGAGGGAGAGAAAACGGTGGGAGGCAAGAGGGACTTAGCGGAGAGGACGACCACAGCGATGATCTGAACAACGACGACGCACCCGACGACGACGACGATATCGACCGCAACGACGACGACGACCACAACCGCGACGACGACGACGACGACGACGTCGACGACGACGACGACGAAGGCGGCGGCGACGACGACGACGACGACGACGACGACGACGTCGACGACGACGACGACGACGACGACTGGTGGGAGTCGTTGGGGGCCCTCGTGGTGTGAGTCCTTCGGCCCCGTCGTCCTTGTGTGAGTCCTTCGGGACCCTATTCCTGGTGTGAGTCGTTCGGGCTCCTCGTTGTGTGAGTCGTTCGGGCCCCTCGTCCAGGTGTGAGTCGTTCGGGCCTCTCGTCCTGGTGTGAGTCTTTCGTGCCCTTCTTCCTGGTGTGAGTCGTTCGTGCTCTTCGTGGTGTGAGTCGTTCGGGCTCTTCGTCCTGGTGTGAGTCGCTCGGGCTTATCGTGGTGTGAGTTGTTCGGGCCCTTCGTCTTGGTATGAGTCGTTCGGGCCCCTCCTCCTGGTGTGAGTCGTTCGGGCTCCTCGTGGTGTGAGTCGTTCGGGCTCCTCGTGGTGTGAGTCGTTCGGGCGTCTCGTCCTGGTGTGAGTCGTTCGGGCCCCTCGTCCTGGTGTGAGTCGTTCGGGCTCTTCGTGGTGTGAGTCGTTCGGGCCCCTCGTCTTGGGGTGAGTCGTTCGGGCTTCTCGTGGTGTGACGCGTTCGGGCACCTCGTCCGCGTGCGAGTCGTTCGGGCCCATCGTAGTAGGAGTCGTAGTAGTAGTAGTAGTAGTAGTAGTAGTAGTAGTAGTAGTAGTAGTAGTAGTAGTAGTAGTAGTAGTAGTAGTAGTAGTAGTAGTGGTAGTAGTAGTAGTAGTATTAGTTAGTTAGTTAGTAGTAGTAGTAGTAGTAGTAGTAGTAGTAGTAGTAGTAGTAGTAGTATTAGTAGTACTAGTACTAGTAGCAGATGAAGTAGTATTAGTAGTAATAGTAGTAGTAGCAGTAGCAGTAGTAGTTGTAGTAGTAGCAGTAACAGTAGCAGTGACACTAGCAGTAGCAGTAGCAGTAGAAGTAGCCGTCGCATTATAATTAGTAGTGCTAGTAGTAGTACTAGCACCAGTAGCAGTCGTAGCAGTAGTAGCAGTACTAGTAGTAACAGCTAGTAGTAGTATAGTAGTAGTAGTAGTAGTAGTAGTAGTAGTAGTAGTAGTAGTAGTAGTAGTAGTAGTAGTAGTAGTAGTAGTAGTAGTAGTAGTAGTAGTAGTAGTAGTAGTAGTAGTAGTAGTAGTAGTAGTAGTAGTAGTAGTAGTAGTAGTAGTAGTAGTAGTAGTAGTAGTAGTAGTAGTAGTAGTAGTAGTAGTAGTAGCAGTAGTAGTAGTAGTAGTAGTAGTAGTAGTAGTAGTAGTAGTACTACTATCTCCGAACGGCAATCCCAGCGAAGCATGCGGACAGTCGTTTGGTGCAGGCGTGTGTCTGCTTGCCTTCGCATATATCCTCTGCTCCTATTTCCTTCTGCCTCCTTGTACAGCCTCCTTGTGGGGGAGCCGGAGGAGGACGAGTCGGAGGAGGAGGAGGGAGTGAAGGAGTTGGGAGGCAAGACAGAGGGCGTTCGTCGTCGAGTCCAGCGATCTCTCCCGACCAGCGTCGTCGTTGTTGCCATTCTGGCTCACAGTATTACAGTGTGGCTGTGAGCTTAGCTCCGCCTACCAGCAATCGTTTCCGCCTACCAGCAACATTCCTGCGGCTGGCATGGAGAAGCGCCCGTGCGCTCTTGTACCCTTGCTAGCCACGGGGGCTCCTTGGAGCGAGCGTGGGGAATGTCGGTCGTCGGCATTCTCGCACCACCTTTAGCTTCGACGGTGCGGTCGGCGCGCTGCACTTCGCTCCGCGTGGCCTGGGACGTGATGGCGAGGCTTACACCGCGAGGGCAGTGAGCGTAGCTCAGCCCACTACGACAGGACGACGACGACGTCGAGACAACGACGACGACGACGACTACGACGTCAATGGTGACGCCGACGGCGAGCGGAACGCACGCGCCCATCGTGCTTTTGGCACGATGTGGCTGCGTTGCGCAAGTAGTGCGCATCGCCCATCACGCCTACGGGCTCGCCACTTTTTGTTGTGATGCATGTCGCGCCCTCCTCCATTGGCCCCGCTTTCGTGGCAGCAGGTCCTCGTTGCGGCTAACGCTCGGGGACATGCAGGCACGGCGGCCGCCGCGGGGTGCCCCAGATACGCGCCACTCTCGAGCTTTTATTGGCACGATTCGGCCACGTTGCGAAATTAGGGCACTCACTCCCCGTCACACACATGCACACACATTCAAAACAGAAGCACTCACAAATCATACACGCACAACAACAAAGCACAGAAAGACATGCGCAGACTTTGAACCCTGTCCCCCCCCTGCCAAGGGGGTGAGGGGGCCCGCCATTTTTCCTTTGGAGGTCGATCGGGCCCTGGCGAGGCCTGGAAGTCGAACATCCGATGCTTCGTCTGCCGCGCCCGTGTGCAGTAGACGTGTCGAGCGTTGCGCAACGTGTTGGCTGAATTGCACCCGCCTTTTCTCATGAAAAAACGGAGAAAAATACAGCAGGACTAGGGCCCTCCGAACCCTTGCAGGGGTAAAGTGTCATGAACGGGCTTGCAGGTATTCAAGAGCTCCAGGCTATCTACATGACTTTCGGCCTGTCCCGCCGCAGGCTATGTACTGGCTTTCGGCCTATCCTGCCTCGGGATATCTAGGGGCCTGCGGCCGATCCCGCCACCGTGGTGCAGGGATCCACGATTTTCAGGCTATAATACTATACAAGGCTGTCAGGCTCAAGCTTGAGATTTCTTCAAGGCTTACCGCAGGGTTTGTAAGTGTATAAAGGCTGACAATGGACACTACAGGCCGTTGGCGATCCTTCAGTCGCAAATTTCAGAAATGTCATGTTGTCTTGGTTGTTTTGTGTTATGTTGAATCATTTGCGGTCCTGTCTCACGTTTTGTGTTAGAGTCAGTATACCCCGACGACTACCGTTTTGGGCCTTCTTGGGCCCCTCTTGGGGCCCTTTTGGGCCACCATGGTGCCATCTTGAGGCTTCCAAAGCCCCTAGGAAGCGAAAAGGCGAGAATGCCAAAACATTAATTTTCCCTAGGCTTTTGAATGGGTTTGGGCATCTTGGAGAGCGCCGTGGAGGGGTCGAAGGGCACTTGGATCCGTCTTGGGGCTGTCTTGGGGCCTCTTGGGGGTAGGTCGGAGGCTATTTTGACCCATCTTGAAGTAACATGGGCCATCTTGGAGGCCATCTTGCGACTTTGAACGCCTCTTGGAGCAATCTTCGGCCATCTTGGACGCTCTAACGCCTCGCGGCGCGCCCCTTCCAGGCCCAGGGGAGGGGGTAGGGGGAGGTGTTTCAGTGGAAGAGAGAAGACAAAAACGCGTTATACCACCCAAACCCAGAGGGCTGGTGGGATTTTCGTTGCAGTTGCAGCGTTTTGTGAGGGGTCGAGATGCCTCACCTTTTTGGCGTTGCGTTTGGCTTCCTTGAAGCAGGGTACTGGCGGCGTTGAAGTGGTTCAACAGCAGGAGGGAAGGGATAACGAATCGGGGGAAGACAGACGAGGAGGAGGAGGAGGAGGAGGAGGGAGACGGATCAGGGCATTTGTGGGCGATTGGAGGTTATTTGGCGATCCCAGAGGTGAACCTCGACATCCGTAGGCGCCGACTGGTGGAGTTGAACGCAGCTAAAAAGCAGTACGAGGACGGGCCTCGCGCGGCGTTCGAAGGCGGCAGGAGGAGGAGGAGGAGGAGGAGAAGGCGGAGAAGGAAGAGGACCACATGATATCGATGGTGACGATGGCGATGACGATGACGATGATGCCGATGATGTTGATGACGATGATGCTGATGATGATGACGATGCTGATTATGATGGTGGTGCTGATGATGCTGATGTTGATGATGATGATGATATTGATGATGATGACGATGGTGATGATGATCATATTGATGGTGAAGAATAAAATAATGTGATGGTAATGCTGATGATAGTGATGATTGTGATGGTAATGCTGATGATGACTATGATGATGAGAATGATGTTGCTGCTGGTGCTGCTGCTGCTGATGATGATGATGATGATGCTGATGATGCTATCGTGGTTGATGATGGTGATGGTGTTGGTGGTGATGATACTACTGGCGATGGGGCTATTGATGATGATATTGGAAAGAGCGTGTTTTACCGCTGCTGGCAGAAAGCCGGGGGGGTCACTGGGGGTTCCCAACCCGTCTCCCCCTCCTCGAAAACCGGGGGGGGGGGGTCACTACCGGTTCGAACCCCTCCCCCTCTCCCCCCCCGGTCCATCATGAAAAGGGGGGGGGTGTCACTACGGGTTCGACCCCCCCCCAAAAAAAAAACAGGGGGGGGTCACTACCGGTTCGACCCTTTCCCCCCCCCGTCGCCCCCCGTCGCCGCCGGCAAACGATTCCCGCTCCTCGGGACAGTTGGACAGTGGTGGGGATGTTGGGACAGTGGTGGGAACGGTGGTGGTGGGGACAGTGGTGTGGGGACAGTGGGACGGTGGTGCGGACAGTGGTTGGGACGGTGGTGGTGGGGACAGTGGTGAGGGGACAGTGGGACAGTGGTGGGGACAGTGGGACAGTAGTGGGGACGGTAGTGGTGGGAACAGTGGTGAAGGCGGTGGTGAGGACAGTGGTGGGACAGTAGTACAGTGGGGAGAGTGGTGGGGATAGTGGGGACAGTGGGACAGTGGTGGGGACACTGGGGACGGTGGGACAGCACAGTGGGACAGCGGCAGTGGTGGGGACCGTGGGGACAGTGGGACAGTGGTGGAGACCGTGGGGAAAGTGGGGAGAGTGGGACCATGGTGGGACAATGGCGGGGAGAGTGTGGACAGTGAGACACTGGTGGGGGCACTGGTGGGGACAGCGGGGACAATGGTGGGAACAGTGGAGACAGTGGGACAGTGGTGGGGACAGTGGGACAGTGGTGGGGACGGTGGTGGTGTGGACAGTGGTGTGGGGGCAGTGGGAATGTGGTGGAGACAGTGGGACAGCGGTGGGGACAGTGGTGGTGGGGACAGTGGTCAGGGCGGTGGCGAGGACGGCGGTGGGACAATGGGACAGAGGTGCAGTGGGGACAGTGGTGGGGAGAGTGGTGGGAACAGTGGGACAACTCAGTGGGACAGTGGCGGGGACAGTGGGACAGTGGGATAGTGGGGGCAGTGGGACAGTGGTGGGGGCCGCGGGGAAAGTGGGGAGAGTGGGACCGTGGTGGGAACAGTGGTGGGGACAGTGGGAACAGTGCGACAGTGGTGGGGGCACTGGTGGGGACAGTGGGGACGGTGGTGGGAACAGTGGGGACAGTTGTGGCAGCAGCAGTGGCAGTAAGTACTTTTCCCTTGAGCCAACGTGTCGATACGGTCAGACACATGCTAAGATCCCTTAAACAAAACCTGTTCGATAAAATCAGCTGACCTGCTACACAGGTCCAACTTTCTCCCAGGTTTTGTACCCTCAAGCCGCCCGGTCCCTGTGACCGGCGGAGAGCAGACAGCCTCAAGCCTGTCTGCTGGTGCCCAGAGAGAAAGAGGGAAAAGGGGCTAAGGAAAAGCGGAATGAGCGCAAGATTATTGGAAAGCATGGGAACAGGATGGATGAGAGGAGCAAGGAGGGGAGGAGGTACCACCACCACTACCACCACCAGCCCGGACCTGGTCCTGGAAGTCCTTCCACGAGATCATCACACTCTCGTCCAGGGCTCTACGAGACGCTGCCTGTGTGCGGCTCTTCAGCCCGGGCTGCGCCCGGCGACGTTCAACCTCGGCGCCCTCGTCCACCAGCATAAGTCGGCCACTAGTCATGAGGTCGAAGAGGGCGGCGTTGCCTTTAGAAACGTCGTCTTTGGTGAGCTGGTCCACTGGCATTCTGCCGTGTGGAATCCAGCGGACCTTCCCTTGGGCCCGTTCTAGGGCCTCACATATGATTGCCAAGTCGATTGCGGTACGCCTGTCTCTGGCCGAGGCGTTCCCGTCTTTGAGCATGGTATCATATATTGACTTTGCATCAACAACATGCACTTGTCGTTCCCGGGAACCCAGCCTGCAGTTGCTACGCAAGACGGTAGTGAAAGGACTGGAGCACCTCACCTGGTCCTGGATGTCGACATCCTGGAACATAATATCTCGGTACAGGATCTGAAGGTACTCAACCTCTGCCACCGCCGCGGAGAGTGCCTGGGTCTCCCCGGCGAGCGTCGAAGGTACTTTTCGTCTCAACTTCGAACTGCGCCATCCCAACACTGATGCACGTACTGAGCAGTTGTCCAGGACACTGCGGTCGGCAGCCAGGACCATCCACGCGCCTTGCGTGGGGTCCTCGGGTAGACCACGCTCGTCCACCATGTCGTCAAAAGCACCGACCCCACCAGCATCTGAAAACGAGATAAACGCCATTCGTTCTGGATCGAGCCTCCAAACCGTAAGGCCCCTAGAGGCCGAGGCCCGAAGATGTCTCACCAGTTTGTTGGCCAACATCACGTCGCCGGTCGTCGGTGCCTTGAGTCGACTAGCCAGTATGCTTGCCACCCCAGCAGCTTCTGGACGGCACTCTCTACCTACCCAGTTGAATTTGTACACTAGTGACCTCAACGCTCGAAATTCTGCCTGGTCCAGGGGGCTATGCTTGGACGACAGTCGCCCGCGGGTCATGCTGAGAGGCTTCACTTCTTCCAAGATATACTTCTCTTGGTCCAGTGTCGCCTTCTGAGAGCTGATTGTGATACGTCTGCCCGCGAACTCTACGGGTCCAGCATGACAGTCGCGGTACTTGCCGAACTTAAAACGAGTCTCCAGAAGTCCTCTGAGCCAGGTCCGGGTAGCCTGGGTGCTGCTGCCTATGAAGAAGTCATCGACCTCTAGGAGGATCATGTTGAGAATCTCACCACGGGATCCGTACCGGACCCACCAGCACGGCTCCAACAACGACTTCTGAAAACCATGCTGGCCCAGGAACTTGACTACTGTGCGTCTCCACGCCACGGGCGCGTCATCAAGACCATAAACATTAACACGCAACAATATCAAAGAACCTCGCGGCAGCTCGATGCCCTCGCAGGGCTCGACGTACACGAGGCCCTGGGACCTGGTCATGGGGTCGGACTGGCAGAATGCGTTCTTGACATCCGCGATGTCCGCCCAGAGGCCCAAATTCATGAGCACCTGGGTGAACATCATGATGCTTGAAGTTTGGGGCGTGGGGACATAGACCTGGAGCGAGCCTGAGTCTGGGTCTCGGTGCCCGTGGACGCACCACCTGGATTTGGCCGCGGGCTCCGATCCGGTGCCTTCTACAGGCTTCCAGCGTCGGACCATCCGGCTCGTGATGATGCGGTCTGGCTGAGACTTCCTCACAATGCCCGCCTTGGCGGGAGGGATGACTTCGACAGCTCCGGTGCCCATCATGGCTTCCCACTCCTTGCGGTCGGACAGGACGAACCGCTCTCTTTCCGAGGGGGTCAGGTTCTTCAAACTAACTTCTCCCCCTCGACTGGCTGCCATAGCCCAGCCGCTCGACTCCACGAGGCCACACCACTCACTCACTGGCCAGGCCCGGACACCGTCATCCTCATCATCACCACCACCACCACCGGAGGAGGAGGGGGAGGTGAGGAAGAAGTCCTCGGTCGCAGGGGACGGCCCGTCCTCCAGGCGCTCCCGAGGGGAGCGACTCCGGGGCCTGTGCCTCCCCGCGTCGAAGTCGCGGACGAGGTCCGCCACGGACTGCCGGGGCTCGACGCCGGGCGTGATAGGCCCACGCCCGTCAGGCCCGGTCTCTAAGCCCGGCGGGGGAGGGTGAGGAGGAGGGGCCTCGGGAGGAGAGGGAGCAGAGGAGGAAGGGTCCAGATGGGGCCCCGGGACCCTGGCCGGTTCTTCGATCCGCGCTCTCTTGACCTCGGGCGGACTCGAAATCGCCCGAGTGGACGAACCAGCACTGGTATCCTGCCGGGCCCGCAGAATGCATCCTGGCACGTCGTTCGGCTGCACCAGCCGTCTGGGCCGAGGAGGCTGTCTGGAGGGACGCCCGCCCTCTGGTCTCTCCTCAGCAGGCCGAGCTGAGGGCTCCTCGGAGGGAAGAGGAGGAGGAGAGGTAGGAGCCGGGAGAGGAGCAGCGGGAGACGGGTCAGGAGAGGTGGAAGAAGGTCCCCCGGGATCCCCGTCGGCACCAGCTCCCGGAGTGGGCTGCCGAGAGAGAGCGGGAGGGGTCAGCTCGGGCGAGCCCCCCGGACCGCTTCCCGGGTCACTCCCGGTGTCCTCGGCGATAGAGGGCATCCTAGTCCTCTCGGTCCCGGCCCTGGCCTCCACGGATCCAGCGTCCGAACTGGGAGGAGGAGGAGGAGGAGGACGCGGACCCAGACGTCCCGGACCGACCGCCGGCCCCACCACGGAGGGGGGAGGAGGAGGAGGACCATCTTCCGCCGGCTCCCTCGGCTCGGGACCGGGCCCTGGGACCCTCGGCGCCGTGTCACTACCCACCCTCAGGGGTTCGTCCCACGCGTCGTCTGGGGGGGGACCCTCTCTTTGGACGTCCACGGCTGTCGCTCTACGCGTGTGGACTTGCCTCAGAAGGTCCCTCCACTGAGGGCTCTGGGCGAGCTGCAGGCCGTACTCTTCCTCGGGGCTGGCGAGTCTAACTTGCTCTATAGAGCATTTCCAGAGGCGAGCCCGCACTGCGACCCATA